TTGTTATTAGATATGTTAATAACTAATTTGTTTCTTATCACTTTCGAATTGTTTATATCTACTTTTTTTATGTAAAGACGCACGAAAAATTATTTCTCGGATTTTAAAATTTCGAATATCGTCTATTAAAAGTGATGTTTGAGCAGGACGCTTTCTTTTAATATCGAGGCTTGATTGTTGTACCGGTTGGGATAGTTGAGGGTGGTTAAGCGTTTGTTCTTGCTAAAGCTGGACTTTCAGCAATGATAAAATATGTAGTTTGTGATTTTGAGGTAATGGCAATTGCGTCTGCAACATTCTTGATGTTGATAAAAACCGATCTGTGACATGCACGAGCTTGGTTTTTCGGGTTCCTGTGTTGGTTTTAGTGTGATTAAAACATCTGACTCTCACGATATTTTAGGTATTAATACCAACTGCTCTAAAAAAGTTTTCTGTTGTCTGCGTTATTTGCGTCATATTTATCTGGGTCCTCCAGTCCCACCACTAATACACTGGATTCTTTTCGGTGTCTTTGTTTCTGCTCATGTGCTACTTTATTTAGGAATGGATACCAATCACTTTCACTTTCATTAGATTTTCTATTAAAGAGAGATAAGAATGATATCGGTTGAGGCTTTTTAAGGTCTCTACTCTCGAGTTCCTAATAAATGTACCCCCAACCCCCTCCCCCTCCCTTTTATTATTTTTCGGATATTTTTCCCACCCAATCTAAGCTTATTAAGACCCCCTCATCCTTTATTGATTTTTACTTGTTATCAACAAAAAAATTATATATCTCAAAAGTAAAAAAAAAAAAATTCAGTGAAAATCGGCTTTAAAAATTTGAAAATAATTTTCAGTCACCGATAAAAACAAAAACTTTCAGTGTAAACAGGTTTTATAAATTGTCGACCTATTAAATCTCGATTTTCTAAAAATGAACTTTTAGTTTATTTCTCAACAAAGCTTTGGTCTTAATTATAGGATTTAATATGCTGAATATAAGTTATATACTTTGCAAAGTATATAACTTATATCAGCATATTAAATCCTATTGAAATTATGATAAAACAGCCTAACCCTACCCTAACAGCAGTTAGAAAATGCGCTATTGACCGCAAGTCAAATGCGCATTTGACTTAACCCCCTTCCCCCTCCCCCCGTTTATTAAATTCAAGAAAAAATCTTTCCCCTCCCCCCCCCCCCCACCTCGTAAATTGAATAAATTGAAATTAAATAATAAAAATTCAGTTGTTTTTAAGTTGTTTCTTTTAATTGTGCATTCATATAATAACTTAATTAATGTTGGAGATATTTTAAGAATAATATTGGGTAAATCTAGTGATGTTTCCTCTAGTAAATATGCATAAGTAGCTGTCCTTCTGCAAGAAACAAGTTACATCCAAAGAAGTATTGCCAAAGTTGTCAAAATTATCAAGACGACACTCAGAGGAACAAATTCTAAACTTAAAATGGGAGTCAAATTAGGAGCGCAGAAAACAGGGTCCTGTGGCAAAAAAGGAGGTACAAGTGCTAGATATCACAGAAAAATAAAAAATGTAATTGAACAAAATTGTAAGAAACCATCAATAAAACTGAAAATTGTTTTAAAAGACCAAGGAATAAAAATTTCACTTGAATCTTTAAGAAGGAGAAGTTATGAGTTTAGATTCAAGTGTAGAAAGCCACTGAATTCAAGTGTAGAAAGCCGAAATTTACGCCTGCAATTATTAAAAAACGTCTTGCATGGGCTAAGAAGCAGGCGCGGAAACAGGGGCGGGGGGTAATGAGGGTAATGCATTACTTCCCACCAGACTATCAATTTTTTTTTTTACTCGAACGAGTGCGTTGCGGTGGTTTCAATCAAAACGTTTTAAAACTTAATCAAATTGGCCGCCGTTTTGCACGTGAGCTAAGTTCCGGTATATGTTTGTTGAATCGTCTTGTTTTAAAATCGCTTGTATTTAGTATCCGTCTGTATTTAGTATTTAGTATATACAGTATACTATGGAAAACGCAAAAAAGGCGTAAGATTACAGACTGTTTTCAACAAAAAAGATAACGGTTTTTTTATAAAATGTAAAAGTTTTTTTTCAATTGTATTTTATTTGTTTATGTAAAGTAACTAAAGCTAATGTTGTCCAATGTCCACACAAAATCCATTTTGTGTGGACATTGAACAATTAACTTTACACTTCGCGCAACTCGTGTACTCAATTACACTATTAATTAGTGTAATAAAAAGTGACTAATTTAAAAATAAAAAGTGAACTTAAAATAATAAGTGACTAATTCACGAATTCGACTAATAATGACTTACAGTAGTATTAATGCTACAAAATGTTAGAAGGGTATTCACCGTGTTCTTTTTTGTTTATTTTCCAGTCCTACAACTACAAAAGTTGACGACGTCAGTCAAGTGAGTTTGCCCAGTGGTTCACTACCTACTAATTCTGCAGTCGTCACTCCACACCAAGTGGGTTTGCCCAGTGGTGCACTACCTACTAATTCTGCAGTCGTATGCATACCTATTGCTTCAGTCAAGTCCCTAAAGCCGAACAGTTAGAATGGGACATAGGGATGATTTTTGAGAGGGGGATACCCCATCTCAAACCCTCCCCTCAGTCAACTTCCAAGCATTACCCTCACCGCTGACTCCTGGATCCGCCGCTGCTAAGAAGTACTCCTCTTTTTCTCAAGATGAATAGAATAAGGTAAATTACATAAGAGTAGATGAAAATCAAAAATGAGTAACATAAACTAATAAAATTGAACATTTTGAACATTTATTGGTTATTATGATAAATTTTAAAACTATATATGAAGTATTAATATTTTCTTAAACCATCTTTATATGCAATAACTGCTTGAATGCGTTATGGCATGCTTGCAATTGATTTTTTATAGTTTCTGTCAACTCTGGTTTATTGTGCCAGATCTTGATGATTTTTTCTATAAGATTTGCTTGCTAGTAAGAATTTTTTTTCCAATCTCTCGCTTTACTATTTCCCAAATATTTTCTATGGGGTTAAGATCAGGTGAGTTGCCTGGCCATAGCAACACATCAACTTTTTTCTGTTTTTAAATAAGCTATAACAGTTTACGCTACTGTGTTTGAAAGTTGCACCCTCTTGCATAAATATAAGATTTTTGACATTTTCATGACTTTTTTTAAATTTCTTTGACATTTTTTGACATTTTGGGAAGCAACTGATTTTTCATAACTTCTTTTTACCTTTTTGTCCCAACCACTTTGTAGAGACGCGCTGCTTTTTGAACACACAAATGTTAGACCAGATCATTACTAAGATGGATGATTGACTGTTTCCACTATGCAGTTAGGATGAAACTTTTTGTTTGTTCTGCGACGAACAAAAGCTGTTTTGTCTATCATTTCTTGAAAGGTTGACTCGTCTGAGAATCAAATCTAAAATAATACTTATTTTAAGTTATAAAATATTTATAAAATATTTTAAAATAATTTATGAATATGAAGGTGAATAAAAATACGTTTCCCAATCATTAACAGACTAGTGACAATAGTTTCGAGCCCATTCCAGTCTTCTTTTTTCATGAGTGAAGTTAGTTTTGGTTTCTTGGCTGGACATCAATCCCTCTTCTTTCAGCCTTCTGCGAATGGTCCGGTTTGACACAACAACAACAGCTTCATGTATATAAGCTTAGTCAATATGTTTTATGGGTTATTTCTGTTTTCCAGGCAGATATTTTGGATTATACAGTCCGCCCTTGGTGTTGTCGTGCGTTTGGAATATGGTCTCCTTGGACCAAACTCTTTCCCTGTATCAATTTTTTTTTCTCAATTGCATTACGGTTTGATGAGAAACCTTTACAATTTGTGCAATTTTTCATTTTAGAATATTTTTCATTCAGAATACTTTTTATATTTATTTATAAAGAAATTTTTGTTGGGTGTCATATCACATTGTTTTCCCATAGCTAAAAATTTAAATAAAGAATTTAAAAACTTAGACTTTGGTGTCTTTACATAAACAGAAAAAAAAACATTAAATACTTTATTTAATGGTTTAATGATTATTATTAAGTTAAAAAAAGAATTTATTAAATAAAGAACAGATGCTTTTAATTAAAATAAATCACATTGAAACATCAATCAAACTAACAACTAAAAACAACCTTATTTTGTTCAATATGCACCTATTTGACTATGACAGGTGATTGCTAACAGCCAGAATTGCCAATTGATAAAGTTTTTATTAAATAGTTCTAAGAATAGAAATAACTGAGCATGTAACAAAAAGTAATATCATTTTTATTTTATCATATGTGGACTTGAGCCATCTATTTGAAATAAATTATATAAAAAAAGTGTGTTCTTAATGTGATGGCCGACCACTGTATAAGGTGCAACGCAGCTATTGACGGTTAAAAACTACGAGAGAAGAAAGAAAAGAGAAAGCTAAACACTTCGTTGCAAAAAAATAAAGATTTAAAACTTGTTAAAACTCTATAAAAATATACGCGAACTGAAGCATAAATAAAATCTTGATTAAAAAAAAAAGTTTTATAATTATAATATATAAATAAAGGTATGATAATATATAGATATATATAAATATAGGTATACGTAAAAATTTTGAATTGCTTCGACACCTAGATTTTAGTTAATACGATATGGTACTAAAAATTAAGTAGAAAAGTAATTTAATAAGCTAAGAGATGAAAAAATAGAAGAGAAGAAAGTATAATTAGAAAAAAGAATGATATAAAAATAAATAAAAAGAATACGGAAAAAAATAAAATTCTGGAAAACTAACGCTCATACAAAAACACGTCTTATCGATTCTAAGGTCTAAATGCAAAAAAAGTATCTATGATATAGTATTTTATCTATATAAAAATTTAGAAATCATCAGTTACTGGTGGTATTTTTGTTTCACTTCCAGGAAAATAAAATAGTTTTAATGGCTCTAACTAACTACACTCAGCAAAATTGTTATAGTTCCACTTACAATTTGTACACATAAATAAATTCACAA